CCACGCAAAAATATCTACACTCCGTATAATACATAGAACTATTGCTAATAAATTCTTGTTTTGTTGGGTCATCGTGATTCTTGCGATAATCACCTATAATATTGTTAATTTAGGGTAACGTATATTTTATTTTTTTGGCTTTAATTTGAAAGACACATCACATGTCTTCAATGTTGGTATTTTGTTAATTAACGAAATATACTATTTCGAAATGTTATTAGTATAGACATACTTAATATTAATAATATATTGTAACATTATTTATATTAATTATATTTTGTTTTCGATTTTTGTACTTGATATAGCAACTTTTTGCCGGTGTTTGAACATTTTGGTATTACATTGAATTTCATAAAAACGATCGAAACTTGTAAATGTGATACAATTAAAAATAAGTAAAATAATTAACAAAACATGTATACAAACTAGTGATGGGTCGAACACTGATTTTTAAAATCGAATTGAACTTGAACCGAACTTAGATTATTTTTTCGAACTCGAACTGAACCGACCTTCATATTTTCTACCGAACCGAACCGAACCGAACCGAACCTATTATGATTTTAAAACGAAGTCAAACTCGAACTCAATACTTTTTATCATGTAAATTGTACTTACCTACAAATTAAAACAACCATAATTATTAATCACTGTTGTATTTTAAGTTTTCGTATTACCTATTCTACATTTTAACTTTTAAGTCTAAATAATTATATTATTTACAATACATTTAAATTTTAGATAATTTCTTATTATTATTATAATTTTTCAAAACCAGTAATGTGCTCTCTCGTGTTATTTTGTAGCTTATAAAATATTCATTGAGTATTGAGTGTAATATGACAATACAATCAGTACATTTTAATAATATATAAAAAATAGTAATAATAACTATAATTCACAAATATAGAATGATTAGTAGAATTTATAATGTAAGACGTAAGTTGTAAACATGTTTTTATTAACAGCACAGCCGCGGTATCGGAATATTACCATGGATTTATCCAAAATAGATTTTAATCTCTACAATAAATATGATAAAAACAAAAATAGCTAATTTATGAATGTAGATACACTGCCTCTATTGGCGATAAACAACTTATTAATGTTTTGGTTGGCGGAGGGTGGATGTATAACATGCGACTGGAAAAATAACATTATTATTAAAAATGGAGCTCGGATGTTTATGACTTTTTTGCGCAGACAGAATTACACCGGAGTGAGATACAAATTTGATTCATGAAGTCTATATTACAAATATGCAAACTTTTTTTGCATATTTGACATTTGTGAGCATACAAATACATATATTGATAATTTATAGATTTATTGGCATATTTATAATATTTTAAATATAATATAAACATAACACTTTACATGATTAAAAACTCATATATTTATATCATTATGTGTATACATGAAAGTCGGAATCGCCTGTCGACGACCATTATCTTATCGCCTATCGTTAATAGATTAATATTATAGGTAAAGGTAAGTATAACAGTACAGTAATCCCTCGTTATCCGCAAAGGTTATGTTCCAGTAAACCTGTGCAGGTAGCAAATCCGAATATATATTTATAGTAATTTATTTCTATCATGCATTTTTTATATTTTATTTATTTTGAATTAATAATAACCCATTTTTTGTGTTTATTTTGTTTGCATATTTTCAATGAAAAATAGGTATATTTGTTATATTTGAAGGCATATATTTGCATATTTTGAAATTATTAAATGCATATTTTAATGAAATTTGGGTCATTAACATCCAAGCTTTAATTATAAATAATGCATAACGTGCCCTTTACAGATTATCACTTTTTATCGCCAATAGTCTAATTATTTCTAAATAATCATTATCAATTTTTATTTTTTAAAAATAACTTTTGAAGAATTGTACAAATATTTGGTTTTTGGACTATTGTGACCAGTAAGTCTGGTTCGACAAATATTTTTAAGTTCGATTTTCGAACAGTAAAAGATGCTCGATAGTTCGGTTTGATTTTTTTTCATGCCGAGTTCGAATTTCGAACCGAACCGAACATCAGGGGTTCGGTTGGGTTCGGTTCGATTCGAGATTCGAACAGTTCGAACCATCACTAGTACAAACGTTTCAAAACACCTTAAACATTAATCGATTAAACGTTTCCAAACTTATATATGTATAAAATAAATATAAAATGTCGTTAAATGTAAAAACAAAATATCGTTGATGTTATAATATTTTATGATTTTAAACGACGATTATAGGGTGTTTTAAAAATAACTCAGGATTTAAACCAGCTACAAGTTAAATTTATTTTTTTTTAAAAAAACATAACATATATGTTATATATTCTCTTCAGGAGAAGTTTAAGTTTAATAGTGAAAAACAATATCGGGCATATGACCCTTCCAACTAGCCCTACGAGGTACAGGCAATTATTCTTTCTATAAAAATTTACCATCACTAGATTATACATTGTTCCATAAAGTTCGTTGAGGACACGACGAATTTCTTGCTCAAGTTCCAAGACATTTCGAACTTTGTTCTGGTAAAATCGTGACTTAGTGTATCCCTATAAGAAAAAAATCACACGGCGTCAAGTCATAAGATTGAGGTAGGTGTAGGTGTAGCTTTGGCCATGCAACGAGATTAGTCTGTCCAGGAACTTCTTACGCAGCAGAGGTATTATTTTTCTTGAAGTATAACAAGTCTTGTTGTAACCATACAAGAATACCTACTGAACTCAGTAATTTTCTTTGGCCTTATTTGAAACAAATCAACATAAAAAATGTTTGGTTTCAACTTATCACACTTCAAATCTAATATGTTAAACCCAAAATTTGAATATTGAAATCCGTAAATCCGAATTTTAGATTTGAATTTCCGAAATCCGAATTTTTGAATTCCCATCACTAATTACTATAGTAGTACTAAGTATTATACCACAAGATGTGATCCAATAATATGTAATGCATGCATATTATGCTCATTTATCATTTAAAACGGAAACTCATTATTTAATTTAGTTAATATTTTATAAAAGTATCAAGTTAAATAAAGCGTAGTATAAGTAAAAGTGTATAATTTAATTTGCACAAGAATAAAAAATTATTTAATTTCCGGTAATAACATCTTTAACCCATTATAATATGTTCAGTAATCCAACATCAACTTCTTGATTTATATTTAAAAAAATTAGTCATATTTTGAAAGATAAAAAAACAGGTATCTATCGTCAAATCTACAAATTCCATATAAAAGTTTAAATATTTTATATTCGTATATTATCGTTATTGTATTTACATTAAATCTTTCAGAAAATTATAAAAATACACATATGGAATTGATTAATTTACTGTAGAAAAAGTTATATATTTTTCGTCGTATTATTCCATTTAAAATTTCATAACTTGCATGTGTATAATATTTTATGATTACTTTATCACTTGATCATTCATTATCAATTTTAATTGAACGGTCAGCTATCTACGTAACTTAAAAAAAAAAAAATACGAATTACTGCTATACTTCTAGTCATTATTACTACGTATATTTAACCATAAAATTAAGAACCTTGAATAATACGTATAGGTTAAAAAAATAACATGAATGCCTACTAAAATATAACTATATTTTACTGTGATTTTGCGTTTTTCTTAACAACAGATAATTTATTGTCATTTAATTTAGTATATTACATTCGAAAATATAATATTAAAAATTTTTAATTAAATTAAATTTTTCTTATATATATATAACTATATGATTATTAACTATAATTTGAAGTTAATTATGTAGAGTATGAAGCTTTGCCGTGTGCTCGAGTATAACAAATAGGCTTCCTTGTCGCGAAATACGAGTACCATTAAATGATGTGTTCCTATTAACTTAAAGTACGCTGCCCACTGCAAATACGGAAATCGTCAATCAATTTATCATAATTTATAAATTTTGTAAACAAAATATTACATTATGTATATAGCATAATGTTTTCGTCTGAAAATACAATTATTTTTAACTTCAATTGCTTACCTTTATATGTAATATTTAGAGAACAAAAACATATTACATTATTACAAAGAATTTACATACCTAATATATATGTATATATATAAATTACAATGCATTTGTAACATGAATAAATTAAGAAAATTCAATGATGTATAATCAATAATAGTTTTCTTAAAAAGTAATCTTATGAAATAATAATGGTATACATTTTTCAACTAATTCAATTTTTTTTCTTAACAAAACCTGTTGAATACGATACAGTTTTCATACAAATATGATAAAGGAGACAATAAATTATTTATTTTCTTGATTAAATAAACTGTGATATGTTGTATATTGGCAATATTTGTAAAAAATGTCATGTTGATTATGTAAAAAAAAAAAAAAAAAAAAATCAGTACTATAAATAAAATATTCGTACACTTGAACAAGGCAACAATAGTTTATGTAATAGATTCTGTAGACAAAATGTTGACCACCGAAAATAAAGTAAAAATTGTTATTCAATTTATCATATTATGTATTGTACTCGGGTTGTTAGCTAACGAATTTTTCTCCGCGCGTTCGATATTCACGTCTGAACAACTGCGATATTACAATTTTTAACCCCGTAGGATGGTCGTCTTCGCTTTTACGCCCGTAACCTACGTGCACATATTTTGCGTTTTATCGACTAAAGTGCCGTTCCTGGTGATCCAGGCTCACCTCACGTGTATACGCTTAGCCTATTTACAGGGATGGAAAATGTGCCATCCAGACGAGAGAGAAAGGACCGTGTGTCATGTAATGCAACGTGCCGTATGAGTGTGTGTGTGTGTGTGCGTGAGCGTGCGCCGTTTTTTTTCTACGTGTGTTTATGTTTCTCACGAGCCACTGTAACAAGAATGATGCGATATTATACGGTCGCAACGGAGAGTGGGAACGGCATGGAAACGTACCCACCTCCTCTCACTGCTAAGTCACATTTTGTTTACTATTATGTATTACATATCGCGTTATCACGAATTAAGTCAGTTTACCCGACGCCGGTTAGGCAGTCAATACAGCTAGCGATAATTTACAAATATCGTCTAGTCCGAAATTGCTGCACGAGTAGAACGTTTTAATAAAAATCTGTTTCATTTTATAAATTTACACGAATCCAAAATTTGTTATTCACAAAAATCAAACGCGTATTTTTAATTTTTTTTTTAATTATTACGTATTGTTTTATTTTTATTTAACTGGGGTTTTTTTTTTTTTTTTTGTTACGTTTTTTACGAGTGCGATTTTCGTTTTGGATTAGAAATTATTTATCATCGAAACCGTATATAATTGTTTATAATGTGAGACCCATGCCGAAAATATGATGATAACGAAGTGGTCATCTGTTGCAAAAAAAGTGAGTGAAAATACGCTTAGTAGATTAACGGCAGCGTTAAAAACTCTAAACACTTACCTACTGTGTACAACATTTATGTAATTTTTTTTTTTTTAATTTTTATAAATTTAAAAGTATATTTATAAAGTATACATATAAAATAATATTTATTTTCGGTCCATTAATTTTATCAGCTTTACTTAAATTAAATATTAAATGTGCAAAAACAAAAAAAAATTTTTATATTATTTTATAAATTCGTCAATATCACGTGTCTATAAAAAAAAAGTATTTGAACCACAATTATTATTTTTTCTACATAATATGTTTGTCGAGATTATGACTAAAGTATTATTTATAATTATGAAGTAATATAAAGGCACCTCATATAGGCAATTTAAAAACATTCGTGAATACAATGGTTACTAAGCTTTCTTTAAATAGTTACTGAAAACAATTCATTTTTAAAATAATGACGGTGGACTTAAATTAGTTTAAAACCACTTGAATTATTTTGGTATTTTTATAAATTGCAAAATGATTATCCTATTTTCACTCGATATCTCTGTTATTATTTATCACTCGTGGAATAATATTTAAACTACGATAAAAAAAAAAAAAAATGTGATTAAAGAATTTCAATCTTTTAGAAGTATTATTGTACCGTTAAACAATAATTCATTAATACGCTTTAAATGTAAATCCTAAACTGTTCTATAGCAAATATTATAAAAATTATTTTAGTTACTGCCTTTTTGTCCACTATTGATACAATAAAATATTTTATTATAGCATAAAATAATACAATTTCAAAATAGGTCAAAATACCTTTTACTCTGCCTATTTAAGATTTATATATTATATTACATAGGGATATAAATATTTTATAAAATAACGATGAGTATTATTTTCAATTGTTTGCACATTACATAAAAAAAAACGTATAAATTTTATAATCGTAAACATTAAATTATATAAGATAGTAAATATATATTTACATATTGTATAACATTCTTTCTTGACCTATTAGCATGCTTTGCAAAATGCAAAATGCAAAATATAATGTCTTTAATTCATATAAATGCAATTACGTGGTATAATAACCAAACGCATTTACAACATATGATAGCAATGAAAAATGTTTATTTTTCAATGTATGTACAGTAAATACATAATTTATCGTTTAGATTATATATTGAACACGTAACAAGACAATATAACGATCATAATATATTCATGTATTGAAATAAAATTGTAACTTTGAAAGAATTTGACAATTTTATAACGATTGCTATTTAAATACGCGATAAAACAGTTGAATTCCAGATAGCAGCTAACGTAAAAAAAAAAGTAGTTTGTTTGTACACCATAGATTCTTTAAGTAAATCTACGAAGTATAACGATAACAATTAACTGTAATAAATTTCCGATTTTTATTGAAAAAACAAAAAACAAAAAAAAATGTAAATTTATTGTTGAGGTCCAGCCACTTTAACTGAAAATGAATATTTTACAGTTGATACTTATTATTAACTTATGCCAGACGATAATTGAAAATACCGTATATTTATACGCAGAACAATCATCCATAGTATTTTGAATGTATTTTATATTACTTCCAATTATTTTTAGTCCTTGGTATCTAAATATCATCTTAAATTTTTTAAAACTCTTTAATTACATCCAGGCAGTCATAATATATCGAGGTCAACTGATAGAACATCGATTTAATTGTATAAATAAATGATTTGAAATTAATACAATGAATGGTACAAACGAACACTATAGCTTCAGGATTAATTAAGATATAAGATTGGTTATCTAAGTGAATATAATATAATTGCAAGCAGTCGTAAAATGTTTTCCATAAAAATGGCATTGAGTTGCATACAAGAACAATAATAATTTAAGATATTAACGAGATATGAAGATTCGCTCTTGTTTTTTTCACGAAATAAATATGTAATAGATTATAATAATCTCACAGAATTATGAACGAGGTGCGATGTATTACTTATACGGTTCATCTGAGTAAGCAAAATTAATTTTATATGTTCATATTATTGTTCGAACTTTTGATCCTTAACAAATAAATATTAAACAAGTAAAATCAGTTATTATCTGATAACAATTATATTTATTCCAATAAATATACTAAATGCAAGTTGCGTTAATGCACTCTGAGGATAAAAGCAATAGTTTGATTATAACGCGTTTTGAACTCTTTAGGATATTCAAAATATAATTTATGAGAGCGTTGAACAATATATCGTTTTCAAAATCAATATATACTTTACGTATATAGTACTTACATTTGAGTACGTACACATTAAATAATAAAATGTTGAAAACAAAACACAGGTGTGTAATTTATTATATCTGCGTACAGCTGTATTATTAAGAAATTAAAATATGGACGTGTACCTAAGGATATTTAAAACATCCTTTGCGTATCTTAATGTTGTATTTCATTCAGTTAATTTCTACGAATCATTACAAAACAATATTTTAAAATCATTACTTCCTCAATTTTCGAAACGATAATGCCAAATGTGATGATGTATTAAAGTCTCGATTTAAATATAATGTATTCGAATTATAGTATTTCGAATACTAATAATATACATAAACTATTAACGAGGAAATAAGTAATTCCTATTTAACGAGTAGTAATCGGCAAACGGACACGAAATTAAATGTATATAAAATTTAATGTTTCTGTACTTTTAATGATCGAACATATATTATTTTCTTGAAATGAAATTAAAACAAATTTCTACAAAACTATTATCACCTTATTTGGATATTTGGATTTAAATGATCAGGTGAATTGGATAATACATCAAAGGATAAATTACAGGGTTATTTTACTAGAATATAAATTACCATTAAGTTAATGGCTCTATAATCAACAAATTCAAATTAAAAAAAAAAAAAAAGACATTTATCAATAATATAATTTACAATATATTATACAATAATAATATATCGTCCAGCAATTTTTGAGAAATTATAATTGTCACAATCCCATTGAAGGTTAACATATATATTTTCAATATTATTATGTAATAATATATTTTGATATAATTCTTTAACAATATACATGATTAGTTTTCAAGTAGTATTTTTTTTTTTTAAACAAAAAATACATGATTTTATCCTATTAATGCCGCTAAAAGAAAATAAAAAGTAAAGTGCGATGACGTTACTATATAGTTTCCAAGTAAATCATCGTCAGAGCACCATTCTGCAGTACGTGATACAAACTTCCGACTATAACCGACAGAAAACTAACAATAACTCATTTCCAGACAATGACCAAATCGGAATAAAAAAAATTATTATAACAATGTGGAATATTAGTATGTATTTGCATTATTAAGTATACATAATATTTTAATGGTGCATTTTTGTACTAAAATCAATTAAATGTATTGGGGGCAATTAACTTACATAAAATAAATCACTAAACAAGTAAATACGATAAAAAAAAAAATCAGAAATATAACAATTAATTTTGAGATCTAAGAATATAAAAGAGAAGGCTAAAAAAATAGACAATTAATAATTTTTTTGTCGTATTATTTATTATTTAAATAAACCTTGTAACTAGCATTGTCATTTAATTTCTAAATTGTTTTGGTACAATTTCGAGTACATTTAAATAATTTTCTAGTAAATTTACATATCTAATACGTTATGACCGGAATTATTTGGTTTACTTCCTATTTCGTGCAGTAGGCATACACGTACATTGTAAATATTGTGGTATGACATTACGAGACTTGACGACGTCTCAATTATGTCGAGACGATGTAAACATATATATGACATTTAAATACCTATCCGGCCTCAAGACAATATTTTTCAAAAATAATACAATACAAACGAGTATCATTCTCGGACGGTTGACAATAATACTACGAAGAGCCTCGGATAATATAATAACCCTGCGGTTTGTTATGAATGAATAATGATTACGATTTGTTGACACACAAATATTTTTCGCAAACCCGCGATTACACTGTCTGACGTAGACATTATTTTACACAATAATAAAAAATTTCCCGATCGTTTCAATAAACAAAAAAATTGACCTTCACACAACGACACGTTTATATTTGTAGTATGTGTCTACAACCGCGTCTCTAGCACTTGAATTCGAGTCGGACGAATACATTAACGTTTGATAAATCTCGATTTCGTTCGTTGAACCTGTACGAATTTATAAATTAGAAAATAATTCATGATAAGTTTTTTCGTTCGATACAGCATTTTTATACATCTATTTCACGGACAGTACCAATGATAACAGTATTATCTAGACACCTTTCTCCGTGATCTTATCGTATTTCGTTTTGGATTCCCCACAAAATAATACAACTTAGGAAGAATATTATTCGTAATACGAGTATATAGCATACGTTCTACTGTACACACATGTTCACGACGACCAGCACTAGCATAGGTACTGTTACGTAAATATTTAATTGATAACTATCGCTATTTCTATAAATTCGTAATGCAGATCAGATAAGGGAAATGCATTGATAAAACTGAATGTAAATTTTTTTCTACATTTTTGATTGCGAAAACGCCTATTTATTTTTAAAAATCTATGACGTACAAATTAAATAAGCCAAATATACGTACCCTTGAAAACTAATAAACGTTTTGACGAACACCAATGCTACAAGAAAATGCGCTCGGCGTAGCAGCAGATTCGTTACAAACACTTTTATAATCGCATATGTGTACAAGCCGAACGTATTATAGTAATCATTTTTTTACTTATTACCGTGGGTATGATAACGATACATTATAATAATCCCAGATGAAACAAAACACAATGATTGTGTTCTGGTTGGAATAACATGTAATTATTGTCTAATAACACGATGTTGCAACGTACGTACCATTACTAGCCATAGTGCGCGTAAGGGCGTTCGATCTGACGCAGATCGAAACATATCTGATCAGATTGTAATTGATAACACGCATATCATTACGCTCGAATTGGA